AAAAAAAAAAAAAAAAAAAAAAAAAAATTAAGTAAGATAATGTATTTCATGGCCTGTTGCAAACAGAAAACCTTTACACAATGATTAGTGATCAGTATTTGTGGAATGGGGAGGCCCCACTTACTTGATCCTCTTCCCAGGGTCGTTGTGAGGATCAAGTGCACAGCTTCTTACAAACACTGAAACACTATAACATCTTGTGAGCCAGGTACTATTATTATTCCTCATTGCAAAGAAAGAAGCCGAAGCCCAAGGAGGATAAATGCTGGGGTCGCACTGTGGGTGAGCAGCAGAGTGATCATTGGAAGCCAGGTGCTCCCCCTTCACTTCCTTTGTGCCAAGCACGCTCGACCCCCGGAGTTTTACTAGAAAGAAAGTTGCCATCGGCCAAGGGGACAGCTTGTACCTCAAGTGCACGCGGATGCCCCAGAATCCCAGGATCTCAGACGAGCTGTTTATGGATTATTAGATCTGACTTAAAAGGTAGCTAATCCAGACCCTTCGTCATCTGTAATATAGGGATGACAGTTCCCAGCTGTAGTGTTATGAGAATTAGTGCGGTCATGAGTGAGGTACCCCAGTTAAAGCCCGAGAAGTAAAGCAGCTGGACCAAGGTCTAGCAAGCAACTGAGGGGCAGAGCCAGGCCCGAAACCTGGTTGTGTCCAGCCCATGTGCTCAGGCCCAGTGCAGTTAGCATCAGTGGGGACTTGGCGTATTTCTCCTTCTTCAAATGTCTCTAGGTGCTATGAGTGCTGGGGGCTGCCTTTTTTTTTTTTTTTTTTTTTTTTTGAGACGGAGTCTTACTTTGTTGCCCAGGCTGGAGTGCACTGGCGCAATCTCGGTTCACTGCAAGCTCCGCCTCCCGGGTTCACGCCATTCTCCTGCCTCAGCCTCCCGTGTAGCTGGGACTACAGGCGCCCGCCACGACGCCCGGCTGATTTTTTGTATTTTTAGTAGAGACGGGGTTTCACCGTGTTAGCCAGGATGGTCTCAATCTCCTGACCTCGTGATCCGCCTGTCTCGGCCTCCCAAAGTGCTGGGATTACAGGCATGGGCCACCGCGCCCGGCAGGGGGCTGCTTTTTAACTGTGTTTTGTTTATTTTGTTCATAATACATGAGTATATTCTCATTGTAATAATTCATTAAATCTCGAGTATATTTAATATAATTTTATATTGTACCATATGAAATTGTCACAATTTGACCCTTTTTTGATCTATAAAATGACAATTTCATTCAAGCCAGTCATCCTATTCCCTTTTTCAGGTTTTTTTTTTTTTTTTTTTTTTTTGAGACGGAGTCTTGCTCTGTCGCCCAGGCTGGAGTGCAGTGGCCGGATCTCAGCTCACTGCAAGCTCCGCCTCCTGGGTTTACGCCATTCTTCTGCCTCAGCCTCCCGAGTAGTTGGGACTACAGGCGCCCGCCACCTCGCCCGGCTAGTTTTTTGTATTTTTTAGTAGATACGGGGTTTCACCGTGTTAGCCAGGATGGTCTCGATCTCCTGACCTCGTGATCCGCCCATCTCGGCCTCCCAAAGTGCTGGGATTACAGGCTTGAGCCACCGCGCCCGGCCCCCTTTTTCAGGTTTAACCACTATGAGCAATTTGGTGTATTCTTCCAGATCTTTCTTTCTTTTCTTTTTTTTTCCTTTGAGATGGGGTCTTGCTCTGTCACCCAGACTAGAGAGCACTGGCACGATCTTGGTTTACTGCAACCTCCACCTCCTTGGTTCAAGCGATTCTCCTGCCTCAGCCTTTCAAGTAGTTGGGATTACAGGTGTGAGCCACCGCGCCCAGCTTAGGCCTACAATTTTATTATAATAATGTGCCACAAATTATTTGGCTACACCCAAATTGTTTGGATTGTTTCTTATTTTTTACTGTTATCAACAGTAGAGAGCACTGGGTGTGAGCATGTCCAAGTCTTTCTAGAGTGTAATATTTTAGAAGTAGATTTGCTGTCCAAAAAGTGTACACATTTACAATTTTGCCAAGTTTTATTTGAGTGACCTTGAAAGAATTATAGCATCTTCTGATTCTACCAGTAACAACAGTGTCTTTTTCTTCACATCCTCATCAACCATGGGTATTATTCATCTTCTTAATTTTTGCCAATATGATGAATGAAAATGCATCTTTATAACAAATTTTTTTTTTTGAGATGGAGTGTTGCTCTGTCACCCAGGCTGGAGTGCAGTGGCATGATCTTGGCTCACTGCAACCTCCACCTCCCAGGTTCAAGCGATTCTCCTGCCTCAGCCTCCCGAGTAGCTGAGATTACAGGCGTGTGCCACCGTGCCCGGCTAATTTTTGTATTTTTAGTAGACGGGGTTTCACTGTGTTGGCCAGGCTGGTCTTGAACTCCTGAACTGAAGTGATCCACCCGCTTGGGCCTCCCAAAGTGGTGGGATTACAGGCATGAGCTGCCACACTCGGCCGAAAATGCATCTTTTAATGATGTGCCCTCACATGTTACTAATACAAAGATAAGTATATACATGTGTATATAGACACACAGACACCATATGTATATACACATATACCATATATATGTGTGTGTGTACAGGTACATACACATACACCCACACACACAGATACATATATACCTTCAGCCAACCGATCGTGGCTGTGTACCTTGGGAAAATTGGTAAACTTCCCCAAGTCCTAGCATTTTCATATTTATTTATTTATTTATTTTTGAGACGTAGTTTCGCTCTTGTTGCCTAGGCTGGAGCGCAATGGCGCCATCTCAGCTCACCACAACCTCCATTTCCTGGGTTCAAGCGATTCTCCTGCCTCAGCCTCTAGAACTTTCTTCATGGATATTCCTCCTATTTTATTCTTGTTCTGCCCTTTACATAAGATTATAGACATAAGATTAATGCTTTTCCCTCTTCTAACCTCTTTCTCTTTTCCAGCAGAAACAGTGCCTTACAATGTGTTTTGGATGGTGACATAGCATCAATCCCCCTCGGCATCTTGGACCCCACCCCGTCCCCTCCACTACCAAGCTGGAAGCACTCTGGTTTGTCCAAGTTCTAAAGTGCTGTGCCCAGGCCCAAATGCCATCCCCTAAGTTGCTGGTCTATGATTGTTTTTATTTTTGTGATTTTATTTTATTTTGTTTTACTTTTGAGACAGAGTCTTGTTCTGTCACCCAGGCTGGAGCGCAGTGGCGTGATCTCAGCTCACTGCAACCTCCACCTCCCGGGTTCAAACATTTCTCGTGCCTCAGCCTCCCAAGTAGTTGGGATTACAGGCGAGCACCACCACTCCCGGCTAATTTTTGTATATTTTTAGTAGAGATGGGATTTCGCCATGTTGGCCAGACTGGTCTCAAACTTCTGACCTCAGGTGATCCACCTGCTTTGGCCTCCCAAAGTGCTCGGTTTACAGGCGTGAGCCACTGTATGATTGTTTTTAATTCAAACATGTAACCACCAGGAAAGCTGTCATGAGCACATAACCCCAAATACCTTCATTTATTTATAAATTATATATACATATACTTATGTATTGTATGTTATACATACATTCCAAAGAAACTTCTCAACTTTTATCATTAATTTTAGTGAAATCAATTTCTCCCTTAATGAAAACAGCCCGGAAGTTTTTTTTTCCTGTTCTTATTGGATACATGTCTTGCTGATTGTGACGGATTCATACTTTGAATTCTCTTTTAATGATAATGGATATAAAACCTTGTTTCAAATACTCTTGAAAAGATACCAACCCCTCCTCCTGCCTTTGTTGGCCCATTTCTTGTCAGATCCAATTAACCCGTTAGTGCTTTTATTTCCTAATGTGGTGAAGGAAGACCTTACACTCAGGAGGAGCAGTGAGGGGTCTGCTGTTTTCTTTTTGCTCACTTGTGCTGTCATGGTTGTTCTCTTCAGTCTATGGCTTCTTAGAAGGATTATTCGTAAGCTGTGTGTGTGCTATAAATTAAAATTGGGTAATATAGGCCAGGCACGGTGGCTCAGGCCTGTAATCCCAGCACTTTGAGAGGCCAAGTTGGGTCAGTCGCTTGAGCTCAGGAGTTCGTGACCAGCCTGGGCAACTTGGCGAAAACTCGTCTCTACAAAAGACACGAAAATTAGCTGGGCCTGGTGGCGCGTGCCTGTGATCTCAGCTACTCGGGAAGCTGAGGTGGAAGAATCATTTGAGCCTGGGAGGTCGAGGCTGCAGTGAGCCGAGATCGTGCCACTGCACTCTAGCCTGGGCGACAGAACGAGACCCTGTCTCAAAAAAAAAAAAAAAAAAAAAAAAAAGGGCCAGGCACGGTGACTCAAGCCTGTCATCCCAGCACTTTGGGAGGCTGAGACGGGCGGATCACGAGGTCAGGAGATCGAGACCATCCTGGCTAATCCGGTGAAACCCCGTCTCTACTAAAAAATACAAAAAAACTAGCCGGGCGAGGTGGCGGGCGCCTGTAGTCCCAGCTACTCCGGAGGCTGAGGCAGGAGAATAGCGTGAACCCGGGAGGCGGAGCTTGCAGTGAGCTGAGATCCGGCCACTGCACTCCAGCCTGGGCGACTGAGCGAGACTCCGTCTCAAAAAAAAAAATTTTGGGTGATATATGGGGAAAAAAGAACACTAACCCCTGTCATACATCATATACAAATATTAATTCAAGATGAATTATAGTCACAAATGTAAATGTAAACAATATTACCAGAAGTTAACAATAAAAAATATCCTCATGACCTTGGGGTAGGCAATTTTTTTTGGGGGGGAGAAAGGGTCTCATTCTGTCACCCAAGCTGGAGTGCAGTGTCATAATCTCAGCTCACTGCAACCTCTGGCTCCTGGGTGCAAGCAATCCTCCCACCTCTGCCTCCTGAGTAGTCCCTCCTGTGTGCCTCCACAGGCGCACACCACCACGCCCAGCTAATTTTTTGTATCTTTGGTAGAGACAGGGTTTTGTTTGCCATGTTGCCCAGGATGGTCTTGAACTCCTGGACTCAAGTGATCTGCCTGCCTCTGCCTCCCAAAGTGCTAGGATTTATAGGCATGAACCACCATACCCAGCCTGGGTAGGCAAACATTTTAAAAATAGAATACGAACAGTAATCATTAAGAAATAATAGTAAATTGGGCTGGGCGCAGTGGCTCACGCCTGTAATCCCAGCACTTTGGGAAGCTGAGATGGGTGGATCACGAGGTCAGGAATTCAAGACCAGCCTGGCCAACATGGCAAAACCCATCTCTACTAAAAGTACAAAAATTAGTTGGGTGTGGTGGCAGGTGCCTGTAATTCCAGCTACTCAAGAGGCTGAGGTAGAATTGCTTGAACCAGGAGGCAGAGGTTGCAGTCAGCTGAGATCACATCACTGCCCTCCAGCCTGGGCGACAGAGTGAGACTCGATCTCAAAATAAATAAATAAATAAATAAATAATTGGGTTTCATTATAATTGAGAATTTCTGGCTGGGCGCTGTGACTCACACCTGTAATCCCAACACTTTAGGAGGCCGAGGTGGGTCAATCAGGAGGTCAAGAGATTGAGAACATCCTGGCCAACATGGTGAAACCCCGTCTCTACTAAAAATACAAAAATTAGCTGGGCGTGGTGGTGCATGCCTATAGTCCTAGCTACCCGGGAGGCTGAAGCAGGAGAATCACTTGAACCCAGGAGGTGGAGGTTGCATTGAGCGGAGATCATGCCACTGCACTCCAGCCTGGTGACAGAGCGATACTCCTTTTCAAAAAAAAAAAAAAGAACGTCTTTGATCAAAAGAAACCCATAAGAAAGCAAAAAAAGCAAAAAGAGGCTGGGCATGGTGGCTCACGCCTGCAATTCCAGCACTTTGGGAGGCTGAGGCAGGTGGATAACCTGAGGTCGGGAGTTCGAGACCAGCCTGACCAACATAGAGAAACCCCGTCTCTGCTGAAAATACAAAAATTAGGCCAGCGTGGTGGCGCATGCGTATAATCCCAGCTACTCGGGAGGCTGAGGCAAGAGAATCACTTGAACCTGGGAGGTGGAGGTTGTGGTGTGCCGAAATGGCGTCATTGCACTTCAGCCTGGGCCACAAGAGCGAAACTCTGTCTCCAAAAAAAAAAAAAAAAAAAAAAAAAAGCAAAAAGAGGTCGGGTGCAGTGACTCATGACTGTAATCCCAGCACTTTGGGAGGCTGAGGCGGGTGGATCACTTGAGGTCAGGAGTTCGAGACCAGCCTGGCCAACATGGCAAAACCCCATCTCTACTAAAAACACAAAAATTAGCCAGGTTTGGTGGCAGGCGCGTGTAATCCCAGCTACTTGGGAGGTTGAGACAGGAGAATCTCTTGAACCTGGGAGGCAGAGATTGCAGTGAGCCAAGATAGCACCACTGCACTCCAGCCTGGGTGACAGAGCGAGACTCTCTTTCAAAAAAAAAAAAAAGAAGAACGCAAAAAGAAAAAAGTGGGAGAAGGTATTTTCAGTGCTGTACATGTATACAGTAATGAAACCTGTATCCAGCATATATAAATACCCTTACAAACCCTTACAAAATGAACATGATAGACAGCTCAATTTTTTAAAAAATGGCAAAAGAGGACTGGGTGTGGTGGCTCATGCTTATAATCCCAGCACTTTGGGAGGCTGTGGTGGGCGGATCGCTTGAGGTCAGGAGTTCGAGACCAGCCTGGCCAACACAGCGAAACCCTGTCTCTGTTAAAAATACAAAAATTAGCCGGGCATGGTGGCGTGTTCCTGTAATCCCAGTTACTTGGGAGGCTGAGGCAGGAGAATCACTTGAACGTGGGAGGCAGCGGTTGCAGGGAGCCGAGATCGTGCTACTGCACTCCAGGCCGTTGACAGAGGGAGACTCCATCTCAAAAAAAAAAAAAAAAAAAAAAAGGTAAAAGACGTGAACAAGCATGTCACAAAAAAATCCATATTGTCCAAGGAGTATGTTAAATGATGCTCAACTTAATTAGTTATTTGGAAAAAGCAAATTAAACAATGCAACACCAGTACATACCTGCCAGAATGGATAAGATGAAAAAGACAGAAAGTGCCAGATATTGACAAGGCTGACTTGCAAACTGCAGATAGGAGTCTAAATTGGTTCAATGACTTTGGAAGACCATTTGGCAGTATCTGTTAAAGCTAAATATATGAATGCTCTATGATTCTACAGTTCTAACCCTAAGTGTGAAACCAGAAAAGTGTGCATATGCATGTAGATATACATGCGCAAGCCTCATGTTCTTATGTTCTTAGCAGCACTTTTTTTTTTTTTTTTTGAGGCAGGGTCTTGCTCTGTTGCCCAGAGTGGAGTGTGCAGTGGTGATCATAGCTCACTGCAGCCTCAAACCCCTGGGCTCAAGCGATCCTTCCACCTCAGCCTCCTGAGTAGCTAGGACTACAAGGGTACACCACCACGCCTGGTTGGTTTTTCAATTTTTTGTAGAGATGAGGTCTCATTATGTTGCCCAGGCTGGTCTCGAACTCCTGGCATCAAGTGATCCTCCTGTCTTGGCCTCCCAAAGTGCTAGGATTACTGGCATTAGCCACCATGCCTGGCCTAGCAGCACTATTTTTGATGGTCAAAAACTGGAAACAGGCTGGGCGTGATGGTTCACACCTGTGATTCCAGCACGTTGGGAGTCCGAGGCAGGCAGATCACTTGAGCCCAAGAGTTCAAGACCAGACTGGGCAACATGATGAAACTCCCATCTCTGTTAAAAATGCAGAAAATTAGCCAGCATGGTGGTGCATGCCTGTAGTCCCAGCTACCCATGAGGCTGAGATGGGAGGATCACCTGAGCCTGGGAGGCTGAGGCTACAGTGAACAGAGATGGTACCACAGCACTCCACCTGGGGCACCGGAATGAGACCCTGTCTCAAAACAAAAGAAAACAAAACAAAACAAAACTGCAAACAGCTCAAGTGTCCATCTTCTGTAGACAAGTAAATTTTGCTGTGTTTATACAATAGAATATTATCCAGCAATGCAAATGAACAAACTATAACTACACACAGCTGCATGGACAAATGTCAGAAACACGACGTTGAGTGTGAGAAGCCAGATGCAAACGAGGACTCACTGTACAATTCCGTGCATGTACAGTGGCCAGGTGAGGCTTATGGAGTGCTGAAATGCTCTGTATCCCGATCTGGAGGGTGGTTTTAAAAAAATGTTTTGAGCCAGCGCATTGGTTCACACCTGTAATTCCAGCACTTTGGGAGGCCAAGGTGGGCAGATCACTTGAGGTCAGGGGTTTGAGACCAGCCTGGCCAAACATGGTGAAATCCCGTCTCTACTAAAAATACAAAAATTAGCCGGGGGTGGTGGCGCACACCTGTAATCCCAGCTACTTGGGAGGCTGAGGCACAGAGCAAGGCTCTGTCTCAAAAAAAAAAATCATAAATAAAAAATAAAATTAAAAAAAAAAATTTGATTTTAATGTTTTTAGAGACGGGGGTCTGTGTCACTCAGGCTGGTCGTGAACTCTTGGGCTCAAGCAGTCCTCTCACCTTGGCCTCACAAAGTGCTGGGATTTCAGATGTAAACTACCACGCCCGGCCCTAGAGGGTGGTTATACTTGTGTGGTAAAAACTCATGAAACCTTACACTTATGATTTGTAGTAGACTTTTCTGTATTATATATATGTGTATTCTTTTTTTTTTTTTTTGTAGAGACGGATCCTGCTAAGTTGCCCAGGCTGGTCTTGAACTCCTGTGCTCAAGCAATCCTCCTGACCTGGCCTCCCAAAGTGCTGGGATTACAGGTGTGAGCCACTGAGCCCAGCCTAAATAAAAAGTTTGCTTCTCTCCTCCTTTCCTCCCCCAAAACCAGGGTGTTATCAGTAAATCTACTTAACTAGGCCTAGGTGAATTGCGATAGGTTGCACTATGCTGAAAGCAAATGTACAGGTTGGGGGGGTGTCGTTGTCAGCTCTGCCATGTTGTGGACCTGCCCCCTTTTCAGGACACTTCACCTTACCTTCCATAACAGAACAGGTAACCTGACATACGAGGTGCACTGTTGACAAGTGACACTGGTGACAAGTGAGGGACACTGTTACCAATTCGGAAAGGAAATATAAGCATAGCTTTATTTATTTATTTATTTATTTATTTATTTATTTGTTTATTTTTGAGATGGAGTCTCACTCTGTCACCCAGGCTGGAGTGCAGTGGCGTGATCTCGGCTCACTGCAACCTCTGCCTCCCAGGTTCAAGCAATTCTCCTGCCTCAGCCTCCTGACTAGCTGGGATTACAGGCATCCACCACTATGCCCAGCTAATTTTTTGTATTTTTAGTAGAAGCGGGGTTTCACCATGTTGGCCAGGCTGGTCTCAAACTCCTGACCTCTTGATTTGTCCGCCTTGGCCTCCCAAAGTGCTGGGATTATAGGCATGAGCCACCGCGCCCAGCCATTTCTTTCTTTCTTTATTTTTTCAGAGACAGGGTCTTGCTCTTTGACTCAGGCTGGAGTGCAGTGGCATGATCATAGCTCACTGGAGACTGAAACTCATAGGTTCAAGTGATCCTCCCACTTAAGCCTACTGAATAACTGAGACTACAGGCACACACCACCATGCCTGGCTAATTTTTGTATTTTTTGTAGAGACAGGGTTTTGCCATGTTGGCCAGACTGGTCTTAAACTCCTGGGCTCAAGTGAGCTGCCCACCTCAGCCTCCTGAGTCATTGAGACCATGCCAGTGACTCATGTATGCCACCATGCCAGGCTAATTTTTTTTTTTTTTTTTTTGAGACATGGTCTCTCACCCTGTAGCCTAGACTGGAGAGCAGCAGTGGATCACAGCTCACTGCAGCCTCAACCCCCCTGGGCTCCAGCGACCCCCCCAGCCTCAGCTTTCCAAGTATTTGGGACTACAGGCATGCGCCACTGTGCCCCACCCAAACATGTCAGCATACTGTGTAGCACAAAGGGAGTGTTCAGCACATGGGAGCTATTACCAGGCGTCTTAATCCATTTTGTGCTGCCGTAACAGATTACCACAGACTGGGTAATATATAAAGAAAAGAAGTTTATTTGGCTCACAGTTCTGGAGACTGGGAAGTCCAAGAGCGTGGTACAGACATCTGGTGAGGGTCATCCTGTGTAAGGCAGAAGGCTCACATGGTGAGCAAGCGCACGAGACAGATGGCATGGCAGCAGAACTCATCCTTTTACCAGGAGCCCGCTCCCAAGAAGACTAACCTACTCCATGACAATGGCATTAATCCATTCATGACAGCAGAGCTCACATGGCCCAGTCACCCGTTATACTGTTAAACAATAGCAATTCAATTTCAACATGAGTTTTGGTGGGGACATTCAAACCATAGCACCAGAATCATTAGTAGCCACACGATAAAATGAATGCCTTAAAGATTTGAGGACAATGGCGTAAGGTCAGTGATCCAGCTGTTTGTACCCCTGACTTTTTCTGATCCTAGGAGAAAGGAGCGTTGGCTTTGCTTTCATCAGGCCAAAAATGCCTTTCTTTGGGAATACGTTCAGTCCGAAGAAGACACCTCCTCGGAAGTCGGCCTCTCTCTCCAACCTGCATTCTGTGAGTATCGGTACTGAGGTCGGCCCGGTGTGCAGCGTGAGTTGAGTTCTGAGCGTGTCTCTGAATGGAAAGTGTGGTCCTCCAGAGGCATCTGTGCAGGAGGGCATCCTTTCCATCCATATCATTGCTATTGCTGAAAACATTTTTGGGCCGGGCGCGGTGGCTCACGCCTGTAATCCCAGCACTCTGGGAGGCAGAGGCCGGCGGATCACGAGGTCAGGACATCAAGACCATCCTGGCTAACATGGTGAAACCCCGTCTCTACTAAAAATACAAAAAAGTTAGCTGGGCGTGGTGGCAGGCGCCTGTAGTCCCAGCTATTTGGGAAGCTGAGGCAGGAGAATGTCGTGAACCCGGGAGGCGGAGCTTGCAGTGAGCCGAGATTGCGCCACTGCACTCCAGCCTGGGCGACCGAATGAGACTCCATCTCAAAAAAAAAAAGAAAAAGAAAACATTTTTGAACTCTTGTTTGGGAATGATTGTCAGAGCTTGTTTATCCAAGAACCTCAGAAGACAATCTCATTATGATATTTGATCCCAAATATCCAATTTTTTTTTTTTTTTTTTTTTGAGATGGAGTCTCACTCTCGTCCCACAGGCTAGGTGCAGTGGCGCAATCTCGGCTCAGTGTAACCCCCACCTCCCAGGTTCAAGCGATTCTCCTTCCTCAGCCTCCTGAGTAGCTAGGATTACAACTGCCTGCCACCATGCCTGGCTCATTTTTGTATTTTTAGTAGAGACAAGGATTCACCATGTTGACCAGACTGGTCTCCAACTGCTGACCTCAGGTGATTCACCTGCCTTGGCCTCCCCAAGTGCTAGGATAACGGGCGTGAGCCACCGTGCCCAGCCAGTATTATCGAATTTGACTTCTACTTTATTCTGTGACCTTTTCCTACAGAGCTGGCTGTGCAGATTGGCCATGTCTTCACAGAAGGCGAGCGGGGTTGAACAACAAGGCTGTGGGGGCTGAGCATTCATTCCAGGCTTCAGTCTCAGAGTCTGTTGTCTCCTGTTCCCAGCGAAACAGGCTTCAGGTCTCAGAGTCTGTTGTCTCCTGTTCCCAGCGAAACAGGCTTCCGGTCTCAGAATCTGTTGTCTCCTGTTCCCAGCGAAACAGGCTTCAGGTCTCAGAGTCTGTTGTCTCCTGTTCCCAGTGAAAATCATGGTGGGGGCAGCCCCGCTGTGGTCAGAGCTGGGCATTCTGTGGAGCAGGCCAGGCAGAGGCTTAGGCTCTCAGTTTCTGGTGCCCCCAGGCCTGAGGCTCCCTTTTCTCACTGCCACATGTCAGAGATGCAGATACACCTGGCGGTCCCTCTGGGATATCCTCTGTCCTAACCCCAGATACACCTGGCGGTCCCTCTGGGATATCCTCTGTCCTAACCCCACACAGCGTAAGAGCAACAGCGTGCTTACGTGACGTCTGTTTCTGACCATGACTTGAAGTCGGTCCTCCCCTACGTTGTTTTCCACATTCTGACAGGTACTTGTAAGCCTTGGGAGGGAAAAAGGCCTCCACAGCACTCCGTGTGGTCTCTGGTGGATTTTATTAGTTCCCCATTATTATAGGATAATGACTCAGATCTTGGGAGCGGCACAGATGACCCTTAGTGGCCTCACTCCAGCTCTCCTTCCTGGCCTTGCCCTCTGCACACCCTGTGCTGCAGCTGCCCAAGCCCCGTGTGAGCCTCCTCTGTGCACGCTACTCCTTTTGCCTAGAATGTTCTTCTCTATTAATTCAAGAGCTATTGATTGATACCTTTCTGTGTGCCAGGCACTCTCCTAAGCACTGGGCATGCAGAAGTGGATGAAGGAGGGGAGAGGGAAAACATCAAATCCCTGCTTTCATGGGGCAGATATTTTAATGGAAGGCTACAGAAAATAAGCAAATTTATATCAGATGGTGATACATGCCAGACAGCAAAACAAAGCATAGGCCTGGGATGGGGTGTGGCTGAACACTGGGGATGGAGCTGTCATTTTCAACAGGGTGGTCAGGAAGGCCTGACTGAGAAAGGGACATTTGAGCACTTACCTGAAGGTCTCCCCCTGTTGAGCAGGGGCAGAGCTGGTTGAGGGCAGAGCTGGTCATTCCCATCCCTGGATACCCAGTACCGAGTCCTGAATCGGGGTGCGTGCTCAGTGAGTTGTAGAAATGAATATATAGGCCAGGCGTGGTGGCTCATGCCTGTAATCCCAGCACTTTAGGAGGCTGAGGTGGGCGCATCACCTGAGGTCAGTTCGAGACCAGCCTGGCCAATGTGGTGAAACTCTGACTCTACTTTAAAAAATACAAAAATTAGGCTGAGTGCGGTGACTTATGCCTGTAATCCCAGCACTTTGGGAGGCTGAGGTGGGCAGATCACAAGGTCAGGAGTTCGAGACCAGCCTGGCCAATATGGTGCAACCCTGTCTCTACTAAAAAATACAAAAATCAGCCAGGTGTGGTGGCGGACATCTGTAGTCCCAGCTACTGGGGAAGCTGAGGCAGGAGGAGAATCACTTGAACCTAGGAGGCAGAGGCTGCAGTGAGCCGAGACTGCACCACTGCACTCCAGCCTGGGCGAAAGAGTGAGGCTCCGTCTCAGATGATGATGATAATAATAATAATAATAATAAATTAGCTGGGAATGGTGGCACATGCCTGTAGTCTCAGCTATTTGGAGGCTGAGATGGGAGGATCACTTGAACTTGGAAGGCAGAGACTGCAGTGAACTGAGATGGCGCTACTGTACTCTAGCCTGGGTGATAGAGCAAAACTCTATCTCAAACAAAAAAACGAAAGGAAAGAAATGAATATATAAATTGTACTCTCGCCTGTTAAGAAGCAACTCCTCCTCCTCCTAATTGTTAGAATTTTATGTCTTTTCCACAACATATGTAGCTCCATATTAAGCAAATGAAACTTATTATATTTAAAAAGGATCTTTTACTTAACAATTTATAGTAGGACTGCTTAAACTATTAAGTGTCAACTAGGTGTAAAATAATTCAATTTAGGTCAGGCGCAGTGGCTCAAGCCTGTAATCCCAGCACTTTGGGAGGCCCAGACCGGCGGATCACGAGGTCAGGAGATCGAGACCATCCTGGCTAACATGGTGAAACCCCGTCTCTACTAAAAAATAAAAAAAACTAGCCAGGCGAGGTGGTGGGCGCCTGTAGTCCCAGCTCCTCGGGAGGCTGAGGCAGGAGAATGGCGTAAACCCGGGAGGCGGAGCTTGCAGTGAGCTGAGATCCGGCCACTGCACTCCAGCCTGGGCAACAGAGTGAGACTCCGTCTCAAAAAATAATAATAATAATAATAATAATAATAATAATAATAATTCAATTTATACATTTCAGTATATATAGCTTTTCTAGAAACATCTAATGTATAAAACAGTATATTTTTTATCTCATAATTAAACTTCTGCTGTACATCATTTGATTTTATGGCCTTTAAAAAAATCATTAAAGGTGTCAGGTAATGATTAGAGAAATGAGTTGTTGGGGTCATATTGTTGGCGGAAGAGGAACTGGGATGAGGGCGTGTTCTGGGCCTGCTGAAGTCGTCACGTAGCATCTCGCCCACAGTTGGATCGGTCAGCCCGGGAGGTGGAGCTGGGCTTGGAATACGGATCCCCCACTATGAACCTGGCAGGGCAAAGCCTGAAGTTTGAAAATGGCCAGTGGATAGCAGGTGAGCTGCACTTCCTGCCATTTTGTCAAACAAAATTGTAGGAGGAAGCCCTCCTTTAACTAGTTCTGTCCTTCCTCCAGAGACAGGGGTTAGTGGCGTTGTGGACCGGAGGGAGGTTCAGCGCCTTCGCAGGCGGAACCAGCAGTTGGAGGAAGAGAACAATCTCTTGCGACTGAAAGTGGACATCCTGTTAGACATGGTGAGGCAGGTGACAGGCAAGAGATGCCTAGCTTCTTCTTTTGGGGAGGCTCCACCTCGAGTCATTTAATCCAACAGGTATCTCCTCAATGCCAGTTTGGCCAGGTATGTTGCTTTGTGTCCAAAGACACACTCAAGAAACAAGACACAGTTCCTGCCCTCACAGTACAGGCAGGTGAACCATAAGCATCATTAGAGTGGTAAGGACCCAGTTGAAGTCTGCACAGGATCTGCATAGCACACGAGTGAGAAGTTAATTCTGTCAAGTCAGGAGAGCTTCCCAGAGGAAGGGATATCTGAGCTGAATGTGGAAGGATAATGGCAGGGATGGAGGTTGGATGAAGGCATTCCAGGAAGAGGGGAAGAGCCGGCTTATGGCTTGGAAGTGTCTCATACCAAGTAGGCATTAATCAGTGCCCAGCACAGACCTGCTGAGGGGCTCACACTGCATTAGCGTTGGTTTCTTGTGACTATTAAAAATCCAGCAACCCACTGGGCCTAGAGGAGCCTGTGAAGGTTCAGAGGCAGGAGAGCACACACTCTGGAGCAAAATGGCCTGGGTTCCTTGCCCAGCTCTGCTACTGACTGACTGCTCTGTGACTTAACTTCTTCAGCAATAAATGGCATAATAGCTAACTGTGGTGGTGCACCCCTGTAGTCCCAGCTACTCAGGAGGCTAAGACAGGAGGATGGCTTAACCTCAGGAGTTTGAGACCAGATTTGGCAACAAAGTAAGACCCTGTCTTTTTTTATTTTTAAAAAAGAACTAGGCTGGGCATGATGGCTCACACCTATAATCCTAGCATTTTGGGAGGCCGAGGTGGACAGGTCACAAGGTCAGGAGTTCGAGACCAGCCTGACCAACATGGTGAAACCCTGTCTCTACTAAAAATACAAAAATTAGCCAAGTGTGGTGGCATGCACCTGTAATCCCAGCTACTCAGGAAGCTGAGGCAGGAGAATTGCTTGAACCCAGGAGGCAGAGGTTGCAGTGGGCTGAGATTGTGCCACTGCACTCCAGCCTGGGAGACAGAGTGAGACTCTGTCTCGGAAAAAAAAAAAAAAAAAAGACTGACATTTTAGGCTGGATGGTTTTTTATTTTTATTTACTTATTTATTTATTTAAGAATAAATAAATAAGTCCGGGCTCACTCTGTAGCCCAGACTGGAGTGCAGTGGCGTGATCTCTGCACACTGAAACTTCTGCCTCCTGGGTTCAAGTGATTCTCCTGCCTCAACCTGATGAGCACCTGCCACCATGCCCGGCTAACTTTTGCATTTTTAGTAGAGATGGGGTTTCACCATGTTGGCCAGGTTGGTCTCCAACTTCTGACCTCAGGTGATCTCCCTGTCTCAGCCTCCCAAAGTGCTGAGATTACAGGCGTGAGCCACCGCGCCCGGCCTGGATGTTGTTTTAAAAAATGAGCATAATCGTAGTATCTACCTTACAGTGAGTTAGTACAAGCAAAGCACCCAGCCTGGCCGACAGAGTGAGACCCTGTCTCAGAAAACAAACAAACCAAAAAACAAAAACAAAAAAACCCTAAGGAGGAGAGTGGCGTTCTTTTTCCAGCATTTTCTCCCCTAATCCGCCTTATGGGAGCTACAGCTTAGAATCAATTTAAACTGTAATCCCTTAGCCTTAGAATCACCAGTATCTGCCTTTGACATCCTCTGAGACCTGCTGTCCTTCGTGCAGGGAGTGCCATGCCCTCGTGGGTGACAGCGTGCTGACAGAGTGGACTGTGAATATTCTTCAAGGACTTGTGGTCCTGGGCCATCCGGGGTTGCATTCTACCCCGTTTCAGAGGGTTTCCCACTATGGAGGCCAGCAGTGCCAGAGAAGTGCCAGGGGGCCTTTCCTCCGCGTGTAGGGCCGGCCTTGCCAACCTGAAACATCTAGAAATGTGCTGCTTACTAACAGCTGCTGCTTTACTTTCAGCTTTCGGAGTCCACTGCCGAATCCCACTTAATGGAGAAGGAACTGGATGAACTGAGGATTAGCCGGAAGAGAAAATGAAGACCCCAGAGACATTTATTGGGGAGTAGGATGTAGCTAAGTGCTTTTTTTTTTTTTTTTTTTTTTGCCCAGACTAGTGGATTCGGTCCTGGGAGAGAGTATCATATAATGGGACCCACAGGCACTGGCACCCTTGGGTTGGCAATAGAAGGTGACATGGAATGGAGAAAACCAAGATTCCAGATGGGGACAGTAACTAGAAGGTGCTTCAGATGCACTGCTTGCGGATGCCAGTCTGAAAACCAGACCGCATGGAAGCCTGGGGCTGCTGATGAGCCTTTGGGTGCTCTCCACACACAAGATTGCAAACACACATGTCCCAGAATAGCTCTGTTGGGCCCTGTTGGGAGAAGCGACTGGAGTTCATTCCCTCACCCCCTTACATTGGGGTTTGGGGTTTGGCAGCAGTTCTGCAGAGCTCTGTGTTGGGGGTCATGGATGAGTGGCTCTCTTGGCTCTTAAAGGCAGGCCTCTCTCCTTGCCTTTAAAGAATCCTCCTTCCTCACACCTGGCCTCCTCTGGCTTCAGCTTCTCAGCAGCAAGCACCAGCCTTCCACAGCAACACTATATTTTTATGCTACTTCCCTGTTTGCACTACTATTTTTATTAAATGATGTTAAATAATCTCTCTGTGACCAAAGTGACTAAAAAGAGAACCATGAGTTCCTCAAGAAGTAAATGGAGCTGGCCAGGCATGGTGGCTCACACCTGTAATCCCAGCACTTTGGGAGGCTGAGGTGGGCAGATCACCTGAGGTCAGGAGTTCGAGACCAGCCTGGCCAATAGAGTGAAACCCCGTCTCTACTAAAAATACAAAAATTAGCCAGGCATGGTGGTAGACACCTGTAGTCCCAGCTACTTGGGAGGCTGAGACAGGAGAATTGCTTGAACCCAGGAGACAGAAGTTGCAGTGAGCTGAGATCACACCACTGTACTCCAGCCTGGGCGACAGAGCGAGACTCCGTCTCCAAAAAAAAAAAAAAAAAAAAAAAAAAAAAAGATAGAGCCTAGCCAGGTGTGGTGGCACACAACTGTAATTCTAGCACTAGCACTTTGGGGAAAGCTGAGGCAGGCTGATTGCTTGGGCTCAGGAGTTCAAGACTAGCTGTATGCGAAATAAATACAAAAAAATTTTAGCTGGGCGTGGTGGTGCACACCTGTATTCTCAGCCTCAGGAGACTGAGATGGCAGGGTTGCTGAGCCCAGGGGATTCGAGGCTGAGGTGAGCTGTGATTGCTCCATTGCACCCCAGTCTGGGTGACAGAGCAAGACCCTGTCTCAAAAAAAAAAAAAAAAAAAAAAAAGTAGTAACTGGAGTCTGAGTCTAAGCTAAAAAAAAAAAAAAAAAAAGTAGTAACTGGAGTCTGGAGTCTAAGCTTCTGTTGTTCCATCAAAAGACAGAATTGTCCGGGCATGGTGGCTCACTCACACCTGTAACCCTAGCATTTTGGGAGGCTGAGGCAGGTGGATTGTCTGAGGTCAGGAGTTTGAGACCAGCCTGGCCAACATGGCAAAACCCCGTCTCTACTAAAAATACAAAAGAAAATTAGCTGGGCATGGTGGCACATGCCTGTAGTCCCAGCTACTTGGGAGGCTGAGGCAGGAGAATCGCTTGAACCCAGCAGGCGGAGGTTGCAGTGAGTTGAAATCACGCCACTGCACTCCAGCCTGGGTGACAGAGCAAGACTCCGTCTCAAAAAAACAAAACAAAACAATGTTTAGCGTGTGGGGAAATGTCACCCTTGCAGGAGAGCATTCCAGCTTTCCTGGGCATTGGCAGAGGCTGATGCCAAACAGAAACAATCTCTGCTCAAATTCGCCTGCCCTCCTGCTTCATGGTGTTGGGACTGGCCAGGACCTGGCAGAACCTAGTGGCTGGTGTGAGAATTTGTGCCTTAGGCAGTATGAGCTGGATTTTTCTGGCAGGAGGAGGGAATCCAGCTCCTGAAGTCAAGCCAGAAGGAACTGAGGGGGTGCGGGCGTGGTGCCCAGGACTTTAGGGACAGGCTACCATGGCTAGCCACTGCTGAATGCCTGGTACATGCCTGCCACCAGGCTCCCTTTGCCCTCACTGTCTCATTTCCCCTTCAGCTCAGCCCTGTGGCAGGGGCTGTGAGCACATCCATCTGCAGAGACGGAAACTCTGGGAGGTTCACACACTGATCTAGGATCACACAGTGGAAGTGTTGGAGCCTGATTCACACAGCCCGCAGTGAAAGAGAGGAGCTGGGGGCGGCAGTGAAAGAAAGGGAGCTGCTGTCTGCAGCCCATCCTTATGGCCAGCAAAGCACTCTATCGTGGGGGATGGATCGAAGGGCAGATTTTTAGCTCCAACCCATAACCTTACTTTCTGATACAGGAGAGAATGTTTAATACAGAAGAAACTGGAAAAGGATCCACATATACGCAAGGTGCAAATCTTCAGGTGCAGATAATAGGAGCAGTGGAGTTTGCTTATGCCTCGGCTGGTATCAATGGGGACCCTTTATTAAGTACTCCCGATGCCGGGCACCCCCCGATGCCGGACACTTCCCGATGATGGACACCCCCCGATGATGGACACCCCCCGATGCCGGACACCCCCCGATGCCGGACACCCCCCGATGCTGGACACCCCCCGATGCTGGACACCTCACTCACATGACCCTTTTTCAAGTTTGTTATCCTCATCGCCATTTTTTAGATGAAGAAACCAACCCAGCACGGTGACACGGTGGAAGGGGTGCGGCCAGGACTGAAACCTTGGGCATCATGTGGGCATATTCGGTTGTCACAATGGTGTGGATTCCCCCACGACCAGCAACATTAGGACCTTTGGGGGTTGCAGCCAGGGACCCTAAACATCCTGTGGTAGGAGGGGCAGTTCTGCAGTGAAGAAGGAATTTCTTTTGAGTGAGCAGGGAAGCAAAAGCCATTGTTATGAGCAGATAAATGCTATGATCCAACCGTGCTTTTAAAAGGCGCTGGGCGTGGTGACCCATACCTGTGATCCCAGCACTGTGAGAAGCTGAAGTGGGTAGATTGCTTGAGCTTCAGAGTTTGAGACCATCCTGGGCAAAATGGTGAAACCCCATCTCTACCAAAAATACAAAAAGATTAACTGGGTGTGGTGGTGTGCACCTGTGGTCCCAGCTACTCGGGAGGCAGCGGTGGGAGGACTGCTTGAGTCCAGGAGGCAGAGATTGCAGTGAGGTGAGATCGTGCCATTGCACTCCAGCCTGCTGACAGAGTCAGACCCCATATCAATCAATCAATCAATAAAAATAAAAGGATCCCTCTGGTGGCTGTGTGGTGAGAACAGACTGAAGGAGGCCAGGCCCTGCCCAGGGAGGCTGCAGTAGATGAGGTGAGGTGGTCTGATTCTGGATAAGACTTGAAGGTGGAGCCTACCAGTGTTTGCTGATGGGTGAGAATCAAGGACAATCCTATGAATGAAAGTCTTTAGGAGAAAAGGAAAAAAAAAATCACCCATATATCACCACACTAACCCTGTTTCCTTCAGTGAGGCGTTTTGTTTTGCTTTTCTTGAGACATTATATATTTTCAAATCTAAATAGAGCCAGATATATCCTTCAGGTTCTGGCTAAAATTCTTCATCCTCAAAGACCATTGGCCAGGCACAGTGGCTCATGCCTGTAATCCCAGCATTTCAGGAGGTCAAGGAAGGAGGATTGGCTGAGCCCAGGAGTTTGAGACCAGTCAGGGCAACATATTGACACCATCTCTACAAAAAAAAAAATTTAAGTTAGCCATGCGTGGTGACACACACTTGTAGTCCCAGCTACTTTGGAGGCCTAGGTGAGAGGATTCCTTAACCTGGGAGATCGAGGCTGCAGTGAGCCAAGACTGCACCACTGTATCCTCCAGCCTGTGCAACAGGGCAAGTCACTGTCTCTAAAAAAATTTAAAAAGGGCCTGGCGCCTCACGCCTATAGTCCCAGCACTTTTGGAGGCTGAGGCAGGCGTATCACCTGAGGTCAGAAGTTCGAGACCAGCCTGGCCAACATGGTGAAAACCTGTCTCTACTAAAAATACAAAAATTAGCCTGGCATGGTGGCAGGCACCTAATCTCAGCTACTTGGGAGGCTGAGGCAGGAGAATCGCATGAACCTGAGAGCTGGAGGTTGCAGTGAGCCGAGACTGCACCAGTGCCCTCCAGCCTGGGCAACGGAGCAAGCCTCCTGTCTCGAAAAAAAAGAAAAAAAAAGGTTCTGTGGGCGAGAGGGAGGGAATGAATGCAGGATTAGAGGCAATAATGGGAGGAAGTCTGAGTTTGAGTCCTAGCAAGGGGAACTGCGTGCACAGCAGGACAGGTGTGAGCTAATGTGCACTTTTTAATGGGAGGGGCTTATAGTTTTTATAGGAGTCTCAAAGGAAGCCATGCCCCATCCCCCAATTAAGAGCTACTATATCACTTGTTTCTAATTCTGACAGGACGGAAACAAGCAAGGTGGAAATCTTGGGCTTGAGAGACGGGGAGTAGAGGAGCTAGGAGCCCAGCGTTCTTGAACATGCCTCTCCCATCCGATGGCAGTCACCTGGGCTTCTAGCGTGGGGCACTGCCACTCACTTGCTGACACCTTTGTCCACTGATGCGACCTCCATCCTGGCACCAGTCTCACCATGTCATCTCTGCTGCTGAGCCTTCCTCTTGAAGCCTTCAGCAATACCTCAGCCCTCTGGCTTTCTCTCTCCCCAATCTTTAAATGACTGATTCCACAGGACTGTCTTTTTTTTTTTTTTGAGATGGAGTCTGGCTCTATCGCCAGGTTGGAGTGCAGTGGTGCGATCTCGGCTCACTGCAACCTCCAACTCCCAGGTTTAAGCAATTCTCCGGCCTCAACCTCGTAAGTAGCTGGGACTACAGGCACGTGCCACCATGCCTGGCTAATTTTTGTATTTTTATTTTATTTATTTTTTTATTTTTTGAGACGGAGTCTCGCTCTGTCACCCAGGCTGGACTGCAGTGGCTGGATCTCAGCTCACTGCAAGCTCCGCCTCCCGGGTTTATGCCATTCTCCTGCCTCAGCCTCCAGAGTAGCTGGGACTACAGGTGCCCGCCACCTCGCCCAGCTAGTTTTTTATTTTTTTATTTATTTTTTATTTATTTATTTATTTTTTTGAGACGGAGTCTCGCTTTGTCACCCAGGCTGGAGTGCAGTGGCCGGATCTCAGCTCACTGCGAGCTCCGCCTCCCGGGTTCACGCCATTCTCCTGCCTCAGCCTCCCGAGTTTTTTATATTTTTTAGTAGAGACGGGGTTTCACCGTGTTAGCCAGGATGGTCTCGATCTCCTGACCTCGTGATCTGCCCGTCTCGGCCTCCCAAAGTGCTGGGATGACGGGCTTGAGCCACCGCGCCCGGCCCTAATTTTTGTATTTTTAGTAGAGACGGGGTTTCACCATGTTGGTCAGGATGGTCTCGATCTATTGACCTCGTGATCCACCCACCTTGGCCTCCCAAAATGCTGGGATTACAGGTGTGAGCCACTGCGCCCAGCCAGGGCTCTGTCTTCTGTTTTCACTTTGCCTTTTCTTTTCTTTTCTTTTTTTTTTTTTGAGATGGAATCTCACTCTGTCACCCAGGCTGGAGTGCAGTGGTGCAATCTCGGATCACTGCAAACTCTG